CATGAGTGAGTGTGGTGGAATGGGAAAGAGCCAAGGCAATGCGGCGAACAATCACACGCCCTTCTGCCAACACCACACACACACACACACACACACACATACACACACACACACACACACACACACACACACACACACACGCACGCACACACACACACACGCACGCACACACGCACACACGCACACACGCACACACAAGAACGCACGTGTAGCGGCCAATGTAGGCAGAGACGCGAAGGCCATCGTCGGAGATGCTGTCGTCGCACTGGAAGCGGAAGGCGCGGAAAATGCCGTTGTTGAAGTCGGTGGATTGCATGCAGTCCTCGCCCTGGGCAGGGCTCACGCCATAGTAGATGCCGTTGAACTCGTCATCTGCACGCATTGACGGGGAGGCGAGGGTGAGTCAGGGCACACGCGCATGTGGTATGTGTGTGCGCGTGATGGGCATGAAGAAGGCAAGCACTGCATGCACGCGCGCAAACGAGCAGTCAAAACACATATACTCAAGCACAGGTGGGTTCATGGACACGCAGGAATGCAAAAGACATCAACGCAGACCCTCGTTCTTGGTGAGCAGGAAGCCATTCATGTCAGCTGGGTCCGAGAAGTCAAGAAGACGCGTGTCGCCGCTCTGTCGGGCATTGATTGCGAAAGAAAAAGGTAACATGCAAGGTTGAGGCACGGCAGAGCACACACACACACACACACACACACACACACACACACACACACACACACACACACACACACACACAACACACAACACACAAACACACACACACACATACACAGGCAAGGCAAGGCAAGGCACGCAGATTGACAGACGCACGCTTGAGCATATATGTACATTGACATGCGCGCCCTCACGCACCGATGGCATGGTGAAGGTGTAGGTGTCACCCTCAATGTCGCTGACGGAGCCGACGATGCGGCTCATGTACTCGTCGGTATTGCCCGTCATCTCAACAACGCCCGCACTCGAGCCTGGCAGCGCGGGGTAAGGTAGGTGGCAGTGAGCACGTGTACGCATTCATTCGATCACGCGAGCATGTCGTGGGTGGTGTGGGGGATTACATGCGAGAGAAGATGAAGGGCACATGGGAGTCTTGGCATGCACGAGTGCTCAGCACTCGAGTGCTGAGCCGAAGGACATAATACACAGTGGAATGCTCACCTTCTCCGCCCTCGCCGAAAGCCGAGGCACGAAGGTAGAGGCCGTTGTTGATCTGCACACGAGGGGTAGAGTTCAGACACATGGGAAGGGTTCAAGACGTCAGGGACACAAAGGCACAGGGCGAAGGAAGACATTGACGCAAACACAGGAAGGGAAGACAGGTAAGAGCAATTGTCGGTCAATCGAGCAGCACACAAGAACCACAAGCAGCCAGAGCTCACGTAGAGGAGGCTGGTGTCGTTTCCATCCCAGTAGCCGTTGATGGGCCAAGCTGAAGCACAAGGACAAACACAGGCAGTGAGGTTGGACAGAGGTTGGCGTTTTGGCGGAAACGCACGCACACAGCAGAGCAACGTGGCCTGGACACAAAAACGGTCAGATGCATGTGAAGATCCACCCAGAATCAAACACACAGGCCGACACAAGCAGAAGCACAGCCCAACAATCACTGGCGGAGGGCAAACACAGACACAGACACACACAGACACACACACACACACACCAAAGCACACGCACACACACACTCACAGACAGACAGACAGACACACACACGCACACACACGCACACGCACACACACACACACACACAGAGGAAGGAGCACGCATGCATGCACGCAACAATCTACCGGGGTATGTGGTGAGGACGAGGCCGCCTGTTGGCCAGAGCCCCTGGGTCTCAAAGTAGTCGTTGCGCAGGGTCATGGTGTCGCCACTGAGGTAGATGTCAAAGACAAAAGTGTCGCCAGGAGAGATTTGGTCCGTGGCAAAGTCGGGCACCTCGACATAGGTGATGATGATGGACGTATCGGCAGAGGAGCCAGAGGCGGGGCTGGTCACGGTCAGGGAACCAATGAAGATGCCGCTGGCACAGCCACTCTGCATGCACCATCGACATGAAATGCAGCAGGCAATGGTAACGACATGAGACGAGAAACACAGGAAACAGTGCGCCCGGGATGCGAGGAGGACAGTGTGTTTGCAGGTCTGATTCATGGTCGTTCATTCAAGCACATGGTCACTGAGTGTCTCCGATGAGCTCTTCAGCAAGAAGCGTGAGCACCCACTGGAAAAGGACAAAACAAACACTTGAAGGCCACCGCACTCAGAAACAAGGCGTGGCAGGCAAACCCCCCCCAAGTCAACGACAAGTGCTTTGTGCAAACAACATCACGACACCGCACCGATTCTTCGCCAGAAATGATGGTGAAGAAGGACGTCTCACGGAACTCTCCGAGAATGGAGCAGTCTGATCCAGGGGACACGGGGCCAGTCCACACGCCCTGTGGAAGCATATGAATGGGGCAGTGTGTGTGTGGGGGGGGGGGAGGTGGTGTTGTGTGAGGGTGGGAGAGCGTGGAATTGAAGAAAGGGGGCGACTCAGGTCTTCAGGTTCCTTGTCCTGCCCGTCATCCTCACAAAAGCACAACAACGAGCACACGTTCGTGCACGATACATTTACAACACAGCCAGCAGCACTCACAAAGATGTCTTGGGCGGTGGCACAAGCCAGGATGGCTGCGGCAGCCACAAGGGCAAAGGTCAGCTTCATCTTTAAAGTTGGGGGAGGTGTGCTTGGTGGGGGTTCGCGGGATGCAAATGAGGGAGGGAAAAAGCTGTGAGCTTCTTCTTGTGCGTGATTTGATGTGCTTGCGTGTGCTTGCGTGTGTATGTGGCAGAAGCAACAAGGGGGCGGGGCTCATTCTTACCAATCAGTGACGATTGATCGTCGGAAATTTAATCAATATTTTACACGTATTGTTAACAACGCCACTCCTCCGAGGCAGCGAATGTTTTGGAACGTTCATTAACGACACGACAGGTAAAAAAGTAGTAGACGTTCAACGGCCATGGCGGACGTGAAGAAGGAAGAGACGGAAGACACAGCGACGCAGCCACTGGTGCCGCTGCTGGCAGAGCTGCATCAGCTCGCAGCCACAACAAAAGACATGTGAGTGCAGGTTGTGTGTGTGTGTGTGTGTGCAAGTGTGTAAGAGAAGAAGGGGACAGTCTGTTTCAATGAATGCGTGCACATGTGAGTGCAGGGTGTGCGTGTGTGCGTGCGTGTGCGTGCTTGTGTGTGTGCGTGTGTGTGTGCGTGTGTGTGTGTGTGCTTGCATGTGTGTGTGTGTGTGTGTGTGCCAAAGTGCGAGCAGTGGGCAGGGAACAAAGAGCGGAAGACACATGTCTGACCAGTACTGGCTTGCGGACTATGTTGTTCACATGGATGTGTTGGCAGACATGCAAGGCTGGATGATCTCTTGGAATTGTCACGCCCTGCCGGCGACGCGGAGACGGCAAAGGAGCAGGTGTGTTGTGCTGAAGCCTTGGCTGTGACGTTTGTGTGTGTGTGTGTGTGTGTGTGTGTGTGTGTTGCTGTTTCTTTTTGTGGGTTTATGCCTACGTGTCGCTGCCCACTGCACACAAACCCCCCACCTCGCCACACACACAGACACACACACGCACACGCACAGACACAGACACACAGACACACAGACACACACACGCGCGCGCGCGCTCTCTCTCTCTCGCTCTATTGCTTCACCCCCTTGCCTGCGTGCATGCGCTGTCATTTTACTCATTGTGGAGTGCCCTGCGTTTTCAGGCAATGGCAGCTCTGAGCAATTGGAAAAAGCAACTGGCAAAGATGACCCAAGAACAAGAACAAAAAGACGCCGATGAGTCGTCGTAGCACGTGCCATGACCCCTTCTCCCCCCAGTCGCCAGCTCTCATGAATGTGCATTCTTAACCTTGTTGTCGCTGCTGTTTGATTGCCTGCGACGACAGGGCTCTCCACCCTGTGCCCGTGCCTGGTTGCATTCCACATCCCACGCCTTTCTTTCCCGCAGATTTGTCTCCTCCACTTCTTCTTCCTCACTCCTTCGTGTTCTTGGCGTGCCCCCCCCCCCCAATACCGATAAGATAAATTAAATGCTGTACACCTTTCCATTACCACGTTGAAGTTGTACTTTGCATGCATGCCACAATCACCACGAGTCGAGATGAATGTGCTGCCACCACAACACGTGCACTGCCGCCTGCTGTTACATCCCCTCCTATCCGAACAAGTAGTAATCGATGCCTTCCGTCAGGCCCATCTTTGCCAGCAGGGTTTCAAAGGCGTTGCCGCGATCCATGGCAACGCACGTGATAAACGGCGGCTCCAGATCCTCCACTCCTCGAATGTCAATCGAGCGCACCAGGTGCTTCTTGTTTGGACCATGGTCATTGTACTTGCCTCCCACCTGCACACGTGCGTGTGTGCGTGTGTGCGTGTGTGTGTGTGTGTGTGTGTGTGTGTGTGTGTGTGTGTGTGTGTGTGTGTGTGTGTGTGTGTGTGTGTGTGTGTGTGTGTGTGTGTGTGTGTGT